GGGTACAAACACGTTTAGCCTTAGCAACGGGGACCAATTTATTGGGGTCCGAGTGAGCGAACAAATTATAGTGGTTCGTCACACAAACTTTATTGACAACGAAAGATAATCTTGTACATAGGTAAGGAAAAAGTCTTTATACATCAGAGATAAAGGGTCATCCCTTGGTTTACTGGAAGTATTTCTTCAGATAGGTCGCATGCCAAGGGTATTGAAGGGAAACGCCATCCAAAGTTTCAAGTCGGTAAGTGCCATTAGAAATCAGACGGTTTACTTTGAAGGGCCCTTCCCACTTTGGTTGCAACAGACCGACGTTGGCCCTGGTAACTCTTTTCAAAACAAGGTCTCCTACGACAAACGAGCGCGGCTTAAGCTTCGAGTTAATATATTTTTCACTACATCGTTTGTAGGCAGCATTTCCAATTTCAGCTTCGGTCCGCAACTCTTCGACCAAGTCAAGGTTGGTTCTCAAGCTTTCCGAGTTGGCTTCTTCGGAGAAATGGGCAATCCGATATGTCGGAGAATTAAGTTCAACAGGTATCGCGGCTTCAGTTCTGTAGGTTAATGAGAACGGAGTTTCTCCAGTTGAGTTTCGCGTCGTCGTTCGATAGGCCCAAAGGACATGATATAGTTCGTCAGGCCAAGATCCTTTTGTGGTTTCAAGTCGGGTCTTCAAGCCGTTCTTGATGATCTTGTTTACAGCTTCTATTTGTCCATTAGCTTGTGGATGATATGGTGATGAGAAGAAATGTTTGATGCCATAATCTTCCCAAAAGCCTTCGAACCTTTTTTCTTCAAACTGACGGCCGTTGTCGGTTATAACGGAGTTCGGTATTCCAAACCGACAAACTATGGACTTCCAGACAAAATCAATCATCTTTTGTTCGGTGATGGTGGCAAGAGGTTCAGCTTCTACCCATTTGGTGAAGTAGTCGACAGCCAATATAGCAAAACGAACACCCCCCTTTACTGTTGGTAGGGGACCAATTAAATCAATTCCCCAATTCGCAAATGGCCATGGACTATATATTGACTTGAGAAGTTCAGGATATTGGTTAACATTGGGAGAAAATATTTGACATTTATGACATTTTCGTACCTAGTTGGCGGCATCTTTCTTGACGGTCGGCCAATAATAACCTTGTCGGAGAATTTTGTGAGACAAAGCCTGTGCTCCTTGATGGGTTCCAAAGACACCTTCATGCATTCCTCAAGTATACGTTGGGCGTCAGTTCCCGACAAGCATTTAAGTAACGGAGCGGAATATCCACGCATGTAAATTGTTCCTTGATCGATCGTGAAATGAGCAGCACAGATACGAAGGGTACGAGCTTCTCTTGGATCTTCAGGCGCGGCCCCGGTCTGAAGATAATTGATGATGGGATCCATCCAAGTTGAAGTTGGAGTCGGCGGAGCAACATCGATCATGGTGACGTCGGTAGTGGTTGTTGAAGAAGTTGTCTGTTGAGTAATCTGCACAAACTCGACGTTGTTCAAATCGGTAGAAGAGGCTAAACGTGAGAGAGCATCCGCCTGAATGTTGGATGTCCGAGGTATATGCTCCAATGTCATCTTGAATTGGGATAATTTTTTCTTGGCAAGATCGAAATATAGAAGCAATCGAGGTTCCTTGACTTCATAAGTGCCGTTAATATGGCTGACGAGTAATTGAGAGTCAGAAAATATGCGGAGGGAGGAAACACTCAGGGATTCAGCAAAGCGTAGGCCTGATAAAAGAGATTCATATTCAGCTTCATTGTTTGTAGCCGGGAAGGTGAACGCTACAGAATAACAAAAAACTTGTTGGTCAGGGCTTACTAAAACGATTCCTCCTCCGGCTCGTATAGCGGTAGATGATCCGTCGACGTAAAGAGTCCACGTTGGATCTTCAACTGGTGTATTCATGGAACGGGTGAATTCGGCTATGAAGTCGGATAACACCTGGGCTTTGATAGCAGTTTGTGGTCGATACTGGATGACAAACTGTCCGAGCTCTATAGCCCACTTGATCATTCTACTCGACTTGTCTGGTCGGTGAAGGATTTGTCGAAGAGGATATGACGTGAACACGATAATAGAATGCTCCAACAAATAGGGTCGTAACTTACGTGCAACAATGGTTAGAGCGAAGGCTAGTTTCTCCATGTATGGGTATCGCAATTCAGCATCATGTAAGGCCTTGCTAACATAATATATCGGAAACTGTTGGAGTCCATCTTGCCGTATTAGAACATCACTAACAGCAGCATCACTTACTCCCAAATATAAATATAAAGGTTCATCGGGAAGAGGTTTCTGCAACGTCGGGAGATGTGAAAGAACTTCTTTAATGTTATCAAAAGCATTTTGACACTCAATGGTCCATTCAAACGGCTTCTTTTTCCTGATTGCATCAAAGAAAGGCTTACAATGATCTGTCGATTTTGAAATGAATCGATTCAGAGCTGCTCGTCGACCAGTTAAAGCTTGAACACCTTTAATGGACGTCGGAGGAGTCAAATCAAGTATGGCCTGAATCTTGACGGGATTAGCTTCGATCCCCCTTTGGCTCACCATGTATCCTAAAAATTTTCCTGATCCAACCCCGAAGGTGCACTTTTTAGGGTTAAGTACCATTGAATATTCTCGGAGAATGTCAAAGACTTCAGAAAGATGAGCGATATGATCAGGAGCTTGTTCCGATTTCACCAACATGTCGTCTACGTAAACTTCCATTGTATGACCGATCAAATGAGCGAACATTTTGTTGACCAGCCTTTGATATGTGGCCCCAGCATTCTTCAGTCCAAAAGTCATCATGACGTAGCAGTAAAGACCTCGGGCCGAATAAAACGAAGTGTGTTCAACATCATCGGTGTGCATAGGACTTTGATTATAGCCAGAATAAGCATCCAAAAAACTCATGAGCTGATGTCCCACTGTGGCGTCTACCATGTAATCGATGTGTGGAATTGGATAACTATCTTTCAGACTTGCTTGGTTCAGATCCGAGAAGTCAATGCATAGGCGCCACAGGCCACTACTTTTCTTGACCAAAACAGGATTTGATATCCACGTCGGGTATTTGGCTTCTTTAACAAGCTTATTATCTATGAGTTTGTTCACTTCTTCTTCCAACGCTTTCTGACGATCTGGTCTGAATTTTTGGCGTTTTTGTATGATGGGATTGACAGTCTTATCCAAATTCAACTGATGGCACGCTTTTTGCGGGTCTATTCCCTTCATGTCTTCATGCTTCCAAGCAAATACGTCGGAATTTGATCGAAGGAATTGAATTAGATGAGAGCGCATTGGTTCTTGAAGATTAGCTCCGATACGCAATGATTTGTCTTGAGTTAGTTCATCCACATGAATAACCTCAGCATCCTCAACGGGTTCTGCCCGAATGTGATGACTCTTGTCTTTGTATTGCATCCTTGGATCAATATCCTCGGATGACTTCATGTCCTCCACGTGAAGCTGTTGTCCTTGGTCAAGGGTTCCATTCAAGATTTCAGGGAACTCCGACGTCCTAATGACGTCGGTACCAGATGCAGATGGGATGTCGGTGACTGAGGCGGATTGATTGGTTATCGTAGCATCGGAGGGAATTGGATCTTCCAGATTAATAGAATCATCAATTTCCTGTGCTTCATATACATGAATGTTGTGCGATGTCGGAGCCAATGTCAGATTTCGTGCCTCCTGCTGATCTCCATAATGAGTGCTTTCTCCTTCAAGAGTGGAAAATTTTAAGGCATAATGAAAAATTGACACAGCAGCACGGAGTTTATAAAGAGCGGTACGTCCTACAACAACATTATACTCATTTTGAATATCCAGGACTTTGAAAGTTTCCATAATGATCTTGGATTTTGGTCCAAAACCACCGAACCGAATGGGGAGTAAAATTTCACCAAGAGGGCAAGAAATGCTTCCATTGAAGTCTTGAATCTGGTCATTGCAAGGCCTGATATCGGCGGGATCCAAACCTAATTTCTTGAAAGTGCGAAACATCAAAATACTTGAATAAGCTCCAGTATCAACCATGATTCGGTGAACAGGAATTCCTCCAATTGGAGCGGAGATGATAAGAGCATCGGAGTGAGGATGAGCGAACAAGTTGGCATCTTCGATGCTGAATGTAATAGGATAATTTCGCTTATTAATAGTATCTCGAAGATCAATATTCATAACTCGTTTTTCGGCGTTATGTGCTTCTCTAGCATAGGCTTTAGCTTTTCGCGGGGATGTGTCCAACTATTTTATGTTAGAATTTACTCGAGGTATATGATGAGGAGAGTCTGATGCATCATGCATTCTGGGTTTTTTATCATTGTCGGTCGACGTGCCGACAAAAGTAGAAAATGTAAAAACTTTTTTTTCGCTCGCACGGATCCTCTTTGGATTGACGGCTCGATCATCATCTTCTTCATCCGAAACATCAACGGGCCTTCCTTTACGGCGATTATCAAAATTTCTGAACTTTTGAAGTTGCAGTTGCCCAATTAAACGCAGAAGGGCTGACAAGAGGCCAAGACACTCATCGGTATTGTGTCCCGGGGATTTATGGTATGCACAACATCGAGTTTTGTCAAGCTTGTCTTCAGGAGTTCTTACAGGTTTCGGATCAGGAATAATTCCCTTTCCTTTCAGTTCTTCGAAAATTGTGGCTGCTCCGGCCGAATAAACGGTTTGATAGCTTGTCCTCACGTTGTCGGCGTATTGGTCTCGGGCAGCTCTGGATTTCGGGGTATCTTCATAACCTTTTGAGTAATTCCGATATTGCGTCTTGCCAAAATTCTTTTTATTCTTCTTCTTTGCATCCGGCTCAGTTTTGTTCTCTTTCACCGAGAATTTGAAACTAGAAACCGACATCGATTCTTCAGCGATAATATATTGTTGAGCTCATACGAGAAATTCTTGAAAAGTAGCCGGTTTATTCTGACATAAAGTCCAACGAAACATCGAATTGGGCCTCAATCCAACAATTGCGGTCACTAACAAGGTCTCAGGGTGACATGGTTCCATATTCTGAATTTGGTCATTGAACCGAGATATATAGTCTTTAACCGTTTCGTCATCCTTTTGCACAATATTAGTGATTGATTCTTTCGGGATAAGACAGACTTGGGCTCCAATGAAGTGTGATCGAAAGGTTGTACGTAATCGTTGCCACTTCCAGATTGAATGGGGTGGAAGAGTGTAATACCATTTCTGCGCCCGTGGCCCCAATGTGAGGGAAAACATTCGACATCTCAAAGCATCCGAGGCGCCATGCAAATCCATCCAAGATGTATAATGACCCAAATGTGCGTCAGGATCCGAAGTTCCATCATACATGCCAATTTGCGGGATTTTTATCTTAGCAGGGACTGCTTCCGCAGTAAGTTCAGGGGCTAAAGGTGAATCAGCTTCAACGATGACATTTCCCAACGTCGAGACATGTCGGGAAGAATCTTCTTGTGATTTGTGTTGAGTCTCAATTTCAGCCAATCTTTTACGGAGGACCTCTATTTCCTTTGCACTTTGTCTTGACACACGATTTCGTTCAATTTGATGTCGTAAATCTTCACGATCACGAGGCACCGGTGAGGGAGGTCTAGGACGTGAAGGAATTCTCTGACGATGAGCAGAATGGCTTTCAGCAGTCATTTCTTGTACAGGGAGCTCGTTTGTGATTTGGTTATTTAATACAGGATTAGTGGTTACACGAGTCATATCATCTCGATGCTGAGAAGTATGACGTGGTTGTGAAGTAGCATGTGATACTGCTATATGTGTCTCTTGGTCATGATGAGAAAGATTTGGATGTTCTGTTGGGTTCGTGGGAAAAGGTGTAGGCGTTGGTATAGTGTTTGAAGTTCTGGGCATGGCCCGGGCTATAAGCGATGTCAACCCCTGAATAAACTTTGGGTTTTGAAGAAAACTATCGATATTGGTTACCGGAGGTGCCAGTGTTGCACGCCTTGGAGAACGATTCGTGGCATGACTTTGACCAGCGTGGGAGGCGTGTTCTCGACCAGATTGCGACATGGGAGTTCGAGCGAATAATGGCTACAGTGGCGAAAGCTAACCTCAAAAACTTAAGGGCCCTCCTTCTAGCACCAAACTGTTGTTATATGGGAATTAACAACGGTAATATAATGAAAATTATGTTGAGTATTCAAGACAGATTAATGTAGAACATGAAAGTTGAAAAGTAGAGTTTATTGAATATTATAGTAGGGTGTTTTTTGTATATCCTGTCTGGAGAGCTTCTTCTCTCCCTTTAATATTAATTTACAGCACTTATCAGAAATGTAATCATTACATTAGAAAAGTCCATGGCGGCTGATCGCCATTCATTCTTGTAGCACGCCACTTGGCAAGGCGCAATGATGATTTGTGCTGAGTTGGCGCCGCCTTATGATGTCAGTCTGGCAAGTCATAGATATCGGTTTTTTAGGTCATAACCGATATGTCATAACCAACGTGTCATAACCAATATGAGATGTCGGTTAGTTGATAAAGATGTCGGTTCTTAGTCTGTCTTCGTCCGATATGTGATCGGAATTCATGAGCATGTCACCCCTTTAAGAGAATATAATCTTCTGATTATTGAGCACTAAAAACCAATGAGTAGTAATAACTTGGTTTAACGAAAACCATATCAACAGCCTGTCTACATGAATTATGTGCGTACGGATGCAGCGACATAGTAGATTAGAAATTGCAATAAGTTTTTGCAGGTATTTTGAATCCGACTATTGTGGCCCGTATGTAGGGATTTTAATTCATGTTGAATGTATGCTGTTTTTAAAGCCTTGGACATGTCACGGAATTTTTGGGTTGGTGAATGCTTGTAATAAATTATTCGCGCGGTGGGACACCGCATAGTTTATTGCTTTCATAGAAACTTATGTACGGCTCCTACGTGGGTCATAGGATGAATTATGTAATTGTTGTTTATATTCATTATTGATCCGGCGGACGTGGACCAACCTTGACGAGGCGAGGCGATAAACACGTACACGGATGCCATAGTGATGATCCAATGGCGACTTTCCCGGAGACAACCAATTCAGTGGGAGTCACTGCTAAAGGGGAATTCCAATACTTGAATCGGAGGACACACTCAATGGCCATGATAGTTGGATTATAGTTCCTAGTTTATTGTTGCTCATTAATCATGCATGTTTTATGTGATTGCTTATGTGCAAAAACAAACATCTTTTTGAAAAGCCCATAAAAAAATTGGATGATATATGATATTATACTACACCCGGTTTAATGGAGAAAACGAATATATATTGATAGATAAGCCCACGTATGGTCTAAGCATCACGATATGGGCCAAGCCCAACTTGAGCCCACAAAGGTACACTCCCCCTATAAAAGGGGGCTAAGGTACCTCATTCTATCCGTTCTCAACTCATTCCATACTACACTCTCTCTCTCTCTCTGTATTTGAGCACTGACTTAGGCATCGGAGGCCCGATGCCGGGGCCACCCCCGGCGTTGGGTTCTGCTGGTACAGAGGCCGTTCGAGTTGAAGGAGCCCGGGTGAAATTCATTACACTCGTATTATTGGCGCCGTCTGTGGGATCCGTCAAAAAGTCAAGCAGAGTTCCGACTGAAAAAATTCAAAAAACCTCCTTCTTCTCCACCGGCTGCGCCACCGTCGGCCGCAACCTCCACCGCCGACCATCGGAAAACGTGCTCTGATCGGAAAATCATTTACATCATCGGATAGATATCTTCAAGGTGATTCTACCCTTAAAATTTCGTGCAAAAATTCCTCCGAGAGGCCTTCAATTTCGCTGTCAAAGTTTCCAGATCTAGGAAAGTTTGGTCAAAATTGGACATTCAAATGCATTTTCCCCGTGAGGGCTATGAAATATCCGAGGGTACCACCGGAATCCTCTCGACGAGATGAATCTCCAGCTACTGATCTCTGCCGGAAATCGCCACCCCCACCACCGTCCACCGCCGCCTCCGCCACCGGCCGCTGGTCAAAGTCCTCCGATCTAAAAATTTTTTATACCATCGCGAAGCTGTCGTCATTCTCGTTCTACCCTTAAAATATCAAGCAAAAATTATACCGGGAAGTCTTTCGATTTTCCAGTCAAAGTTTATGGATCTAGGAAGAAAAAGGTCAAAATTCCGGTCATTATCTATATTTTCCCATCGATTTCCGGCGAATAACTTCAAACCACGGACACCATCGAATTCATCTCGTCGAGGCGCATCCTCGACTGGTCTTAGGCGCCGGTGATAACTTTCCAACCAGCATTTTCCCGGTCGTCATCCTCAGCTCTGCAGCAGAGATGCGTCCCACGGCTCAGCGCTGGCCCATCTTGCCCGGCAGGAGGCCCAGATTCTCGATACATTGGCCCAGCAGTGGCGATCCATATGCTACATGCAGCTCAATGGATAAAGCCCAGTTGTGGCCCAGTGGAAGAGGCCCAATATTGATGGCCCGAGGAGAAACCCAAGTAACATCTGCTCCAACGGTCGGGCCGCGTTTCAGCCTGCGTGGCCCGTTACACTCGCAACACACGGCCCGCGAAGCCCGCGTGTAGCCCGCGTCCGGCCCACGCTTGAGCCCAGCATCCATCCCTGCACACAGCCCTGCACACAGCCCGCTCCTCTCTTTGTTTTTGGCCCGCGTGTGCCCGCGAGTGGCCCGCGCCTTCCCAGCGCGCCATCAGCTCAATTCCGCGGCCCAACTGGTGTATTTGCGGCCCAATTTCATCCAAGGCAGCCCACTGTGTGCTCAATTTCCTCCAGGCGTGGCCCAGCAATCCATACGTGGCCATTGCACGTCCAAACCTCCTCTAACTCTTTTAAAAGCGGTCCAAACCATCCTATCTCAGTCCAACTGGCCCATTTTGTGCCCAAGATTAATGAGGGATGATAATAAACAAACGAGAAGGTAATTTTGGATAGCATTCTCATGATGAAGGTATGGAGTGGATTTATATTTTGACTTTGAGGATTTTTAATTTGGTAATAATCGTGGAGAATTGCATGATTTATTCATGGATTCTATGGTTATATTCAATTTTCTTGAGAGATTATTTGATCTATTTGTGGAGCATATTTGGTTTGTTCGAGGAGATATTACTTGGAGTATTCGTGGATAATTATGTGATTTAATTACTTGGAGTATTCGTGGATAATTATGTGATTTATTCGAGAGATTATTTGATTTACTCGTGGACTTATTTGGTTTATTCATGGGAATTATGTGATTTATTCGTGAATATTCGTGGATATTATTTGATTTGCTCGAACAATTATTGGATGTATTTGTGGATGATTATTTGATTTACTCGAGCGATTATGGGATTTATGTGTGGATGAGTAATTCATTTATCCGAGGAGATTATTCGATTTATTCGAGGAGATAATATTCGCTTTATTCGTATTATATGATTCATTCGTGGAGAATAGTTCATTTGATCGAAGAATTATTGGATTTATTTATGGATGATTATTTGGTTTGCTCGAGATATTATTTGATTTGTTCGTGGAATTATTTGATTTGTTCGAGGAAATAAATGCGGGTCATGATTTTGGATTGAGGATAATTTATAATTGTGTTTGGCATGTGTTTGGTGCATCTTTCAATTTCCCATTGGTAATATCTTTCATTCCTCGAGCATGTCTTAAATTCGAGGAAATGGTAATATTCGCATTCGATAAATTATTTTTCTTGCGTGGAGGATTGCAAATTAGATGATGCGGATAAAATATGACTAATGAGATTTGTTGAGTGCTTGCTGAGAAAAACACAGAAGCATATGGACTGGATATCTAGATACGACACAGACTGCTTGGTTGCAAAAAAGAAATGGACAGCAGTTCGATAACTTCGAGCGCAGGTCGTCGTGTTCAAACAGGAAAGGGAGGTCGAATAATATGCTTAATTCTTTATCTTGTTTGATGAGATTATTATTTGGAGACTAACAAAATGATCAGGTGTTATTATATCTCGTTGTGTTCGATGTTTTCCTTTTTGACCTCAGTGGCAGGTCGAACAATTCGAGCATAAGTCGTCATGGACAACTAGGAAGGGGAGGTCAAATAGATTTGGTATTTTTTATTTCGCTCGACGCAATTATGAATATTATGGGACTAATGAAAATGATCAATTACTATCATATCTTTGTGCTCGATGTGTTCCTATTTGACCTCAGTGGGAGGTCGAAGAAAAAAATCCACCATGACTAAGGCCTCCGGGCTGGGTGGTCGCTTGTTTTGAACACTCCTTGGGATGGGCAGGTTGGTCTCCTGTTTGGAACATCCCTCGGATTGGGTGAGCAAGTGCCTGAAGAAAAATATCCACCATGACTAAGGCCTCCGGGTTGGGTGGTCGCTTGTTTCAGAAGGCACCCCCGGGGTCGGCAAGTGTCTGAAGACAAATTCCACCATGACTAAGGCCTCCGGCTGGGTGGTCGCTTGTTTAGTACACCCCTTGGGATGGGCAGGCTGGCCCCCTGTTTCGAACATCCCTCGGATTGGGTGGGCAAGTGCCTGAAG